GCATACAGGCCAGAAGAAGAGCGGAAGGAGAATCTGCCAAAGTCAGTAATTTTGTCATAAGGCATGATTCTATAGATGCAAAATGCTCCCAGAAACTGGCGCATTCAGGAATTGGTATTGTTCAAGAATGTTCCCCTGCTCTTTTGGAACCTCAGAAGGCTCTTAATGGTACAGGATATGGAACCATAAACCTGGGAACTTTGGTCATTTCATCATATTAATCTAAATCATGACTACCAGCCATAGCTGTATAAAGGCCAAAAGACTGCAAATTGTGCATTTTCACTTCATAGGCCAGAAGGTCAGGGAAGGTTGTAGAGTGCGTACAGACTCTCTGAGAGCTTTATCCACACTAATGCAGAGAGGACTTGGGGGGTCAAGGAGGAGCGGTTTTAACAAGTAGATCTGAGATTATGCAGATCTACTGGCTGACCCCTCCAGCCCTCCTGGGTGCCAGGGGCACAGAACAGCCGAGTTATGACAGCTCATGAATTGCATTTGTGATGGTAGTCCCCTGCCTGCAGGTCAGTATTCTGTCTCCTCAGCCTCCTCCCTCCCCCCACCCCGCCTTTCATTCAGGCACACAGAGGAACTAGACATAGTGCTAAATCAATGTAAGGAGCTACTTTAACTGACTAGTTCTTACAGTATTAGTTGCTTTCCTGCCACACTAGTGTCTCTTGCCCTTCAGCATATGTACCTTACCTCTGTACAACCACCTCTGAATTTAGCTAGGACTTCTGACTGCTTTCGGCCTGCGGTGAGTATGGCACACTGTTCAGCCTCAAAAGAGATCCAGACTTTGAAATCTAAAACCACGACTATTCATTCAAGGTGTCCCTTCAATGTTTAAAGCAAAAACATGACTTACCTTAAAAACTGAAATAATCTGAGGAGGAATTTTCTTGTAGGTTGTAAATATCTATTTTAGTAACTAATTTTAACTAAAGACAAACAGAATTGTTGACAATGCAAGTTATGTATTGTTACATTGGCATTAAAAGATCTGCCATTAAAGACCATTAAAACATACCATATACACAATGGAGGGGATTACAGCAGAGCTGAGGCATTGTAGATTATGGGTTACTATACAATATATGTACACTTATTGTAAGTTATAGCAATAATATTTTTACAATTTATCCACAAATAGCTCAAGTGTTACTCTAATACAGGCAGTAAGTCATTCCATTTTCCTTCGGGCTTTTATTTTTGTAAAGCCCATTTTGATAGTGAATATTTGTTTTGCAACTATGGTGCTGAAATTAAACAGATACCTGTTTATATTCCTTGTGCCTGCAGGCAATAAATACTTATTTTTAAAAGTCTCCATCACTGTGTGATGAAGAAACAAAGCACTAAGTACATTCACAGCACCATATAACGGATCTGTGTTAATTAAATTTCTTTAATTACATTGGCAATGACATTTTTAACTATCTTACATTTTAACTGTTGTTCTGATTACATGTTTTATGTGGGACCTACAACATTGGTCATCCTAAGTGGGAAAATGAAGGAAAGAAAGAGGTATTGTTAATTTGTTCTTAAGGCAGCAACACGTAGAGCTGCTTAAACTATTAATAGCAAGCACTTTTTGGTCGGATTTTTTTTAACGTGTTAACAAGCAGTGAGTACTTCTTAGAATGTTTGAAATTTAGGACTCAGTATTCAAACTGTGCGATTGGTTACCTAAGTCACATGATATGGTTTCTCTTCCCTGATTGGACAACCTGACCTTTATAAACAGGAGAGAAGCTTGAAGAAATGTTGGGGCATTGGATCTCTAGAAGCAAGGAGGGAAAACTTCAAGGAGAAAAAACACTGCAGGAAAAGCTGGCCTGGGAAATTTAAAACACAATCTTTTCCTGTCCTTTTTGCCAAAAAAGGAGAGAGAAAGAGCTTGCTTATTCTTGCACATGCTTAACTTTACATACTGCGAGTACTGCCTTAGATTTCAGTGGGACTACTTAGATTTAGAATATGTAAAGCACAATAATAAGTGTTTGCAGGATTGGGGTCTTAGAAGTTAGTCCCTTTAGATCAAGACCTGTCTTTTTGTTATAGGTATATAGGAATGTACTGTGCCTAGCACAATAGGATTTGGGCCTCAATCCTGGTTTGGATCTCTAGGCACTAGTATAATATAAAGAATTCATAATTATTACATTTAGCTACATGATTTAACACAAACCCCAGATTTTAAAATATCCACGTTCCTATCTGTCTGTGGGAGTAAGAAAGATAAGGCTGTTTAGGCTTTTGTTACATTCACTTGTCTTCTGCCATATTGCCATCAAGTAACTGAGCATATATATGTGTAGGTGACCAGGCAAGTGCTCTGGTGCAAATATGCCATTCACTTGTTAATATGTTCACTTAAGTATTCGTTTGCACATGAATACCTGCTGTATTCATAAGAATAAAGGTGCCTCCCCAAACATTTGTGTAAACAAATCCAAGCTGCTTGAACCGTAATGGGAAAATGAATTGCAACTGTGGTTGTATTGAACTGAGAATCAGATTTAACATTTTTCTCATTATATACTAGTGTTGGCAACTGACCCAAATATTTTTAAGTTTGAGTTAATGTTGATAACTCAAGACTGATTTAAAGTCATGGAGTTTAAGGCCAGGAGGGACCACCAAATGATCTACTCTGACCTCCGTATCTCACAGGCCATCAGCACCGGCCAGCACCTGCACACTAAACTCAACAACTGAAATTAGACCGAAGTATGCTAGCCCACAGGAGACCAGACTATTATGTCCCACAGTCAGAAAACAGGAGGGACGGAGGTGCATTGGTGCCCCAGGACCCTGCAAAGGCAGGGAATTGATTAAGTGAGCCACATCCAGACCCTGCCAAGGATGTGCCTGGGGGTAAAATTTTCAAAAGCAGCTAAAAGATTCAAGCTCCCAAATCCTGTTTTCAGTTAATCTCAGGAGTCCAAGCCTCAGAGCTAGGAAATGGAAGTTTACTTCATATAAACTGCAATTGTTCTAAAATAAATTACTTTTGGATGAAAATATCAAATGAGAGTATTTTGGAGTGTGGTACTTCAAGATATCCAGCTGTGATATTAGTTTTTATAGCATTCCCTTTTATTTAAAAGTAATTGCAATTTAGAATATATTTTAATTGTAACTCATTCATCCCAAATAGCGCAGACTTAGGTAGGACTGAGTGATCTATTAAATATGAAAAAAAATAAAAAAGCTTTTTAATGAAGTGAGAATGTGGTATCTCAGGCATAAGAAATGAAAAAGTAGGAGGAAAATATAACAAGTAATTAAAAATACTCAACTGACAGGAAGATGCAGCAAACAGCAGCCAGTTGCTAAATGACCACCGTAGGGCTCTAGCTGTTTGCCTCTGACAGATTTAAAGGACTAACACCCTCCCCCCTCCGAAAGGTATTCTGATAATCCAAAAGATTGCAGGAGAGGGGGGAAGACTTAGATGCAACAGACATTTATGGCATTGTTGGGCATGCAATAACCTATGAAACAATGTCTTGTAAACTCGTTGAAAGGGGAATATTTTATGCTTAACAGCTCTCTTCCAGCTTCCTTTCCCCTCCAACACTCTGGGCCTGGCCACTAAGTTGCACAGACTTGCGCTCCAGAGGCAGGTATGCAGTGAAAAGCTGTTATAGCATATTCACCTTTCCCCTCCAAATAACCACCAACACCCATTTCCGCTATTTTTTTTTTTTTGCAACATAGCTTTCCTCCACATGGTACAGCAGCTGTATTATGACTACTGTAACTACTGCAACCTAGAAAAAAATACCCTTCCCATTCATGTGGAAAGCTGGCTAGCGCTAACTATCCATGCTTCAGTAGATACAATATAGTCTCTCATTTGATGCACCTACATAAGCCTGATCACTGCTAATGGGCTGTCCATATGCATGCTTAACTGCCAACACACACTGTGTTCTGATAACTCAGCTACCATTGAAAATTGTTTACATAAAGGTAGGATTAACTGACATATCAACGTATTACTACTGTGCAATTTTGGCATCTGAAGTATACATTAAAATTCTTATTTCAAGTGGGTATTGCAATTTTATCACATTATTATCCTCTACAGGAGTAGTAGTTAAGGACTCTCTCAAGAATATGAAATGCTGCTGCTAACATTCATGCATACCAGTTCAGAACTTTGCACTGCCAGGATTTAAGATTGGCCAAGTTTCAAATATTCCATTCTTGTGCAGTAACACTGTTCTGTTCCAGACGAAAGGACTGTTCCTCCCAGCCACAGTTGAACAACTGGGAGTTGGAAGATCTGTCTTACCAAAGTGAGAACAGAGATCTTTGTTGTTGTTGTCGTTGTTTTGCTGTTGTTGACAGATTGATAGAGTTTAAATAAAATGGGTCTTACTATGTCCTCACACCCTATTCCATCATTGACAAAACAGAACAGTAACAGCAAAAGATTTATTTGAGTCAAAAACCTCACTTAGTGGAGCTTGCAGAGGCTAGGCTATATTTTAGGCTATACAGTCTGCAGAGGTTTAAATACAGGTACTTAAATAAAAATCCCACTTATTCTGCCTGTCTCCTCTGAAGATTAAATTCCCTGAAGTTCCAAGCTCTACCCCTTAGAAGGCCCAATTTTGTGGGGCGATAGCTGGGTGCTTCTGGAAATATGCTGAACCCTATCAACTCCAGTGGGAATTGCATTTTGCAAGACTGGGACATCAGAGCCAGATCCAGCCTGCCATACTTACTTACAGCAGCAGCCCCACTTACTTCTATGGGGCTATTCATGAAATTAATGTGAACAAGGATTCAGCTTTAATTATTAAAAGCACACTGCTACCAAACTGAAATTTATGACTGTCAAGAACCCAATGTGCCTCTCCTGATGAAGGGATATGATTAGAAGCTATAATCAATTATTTTTCAATATTTTAGGTTTTCTATTACCATTGTAAAATATCATTACTCTCAAGATATTGTTTTAATAAATTTAATGAGGCTCTACAATTTACATTCAATAGATATCAATACACAGAATATATGAAAACACATATACATATAAAGTTAAACCTTTTTACAATTCAGCCAGTATGAAAGTACACAAGATATATTTATTCACAACACAATGGAACGCAGATATCCTTCATTCACTTGTCAAGTATCTCAGTCTAACATTATTCTGCAGCCAATGAAGCAAAATTCTCACCCCAAAAGGATGAACAACTTATTTATGTTATTAGACACATTTACAACAGGTTGTGTATGGTAAGGAAGCCACATTCAGCACTAAATCATACTTACGTTCATTTCAATGCAACCACATGGGGAATGTGTCAGCACTGATTCTGGACCAACAATTTGGAAGTGGAACAGTTGTATGAAGTGAAGTAGGTAAAGTGAACACTATAGTTTTCCATCCAGAAGCAACTCTTTCCTGTTATAAACTCTACCCTACCACCATTTTGGTATTAACACAGTACAGTCACAAAATCAGAGCTTCTTCTCCCTTATTCATTTCCTTCTAAAAACAGGAGAAGAGTAAGCATGATCAGTTATGTTACAATGATAAGACTAATAAGTAAGTGCTTTTTTGTCTTTGATGGATTATGTGCATTGGTTAGTAATCCTCTCTGTGTCCAAGCCAGTCACATGTCTTTTGCTGAAAAATGTGAGAAAGGATACACCTTTCAATCACCTGGCAGAGTTCATTATTTTTGCACTACACTCAACCACTTCCTACAATGTGTTTCATCCAACTTAGGATAACACTGGGGACTGCACTTGTATATTCTCCTCCTTTGGATCATATTCAGTAGATACTGCATAACAATGCTATCATTCGTATCAATCTCTTGCTCTTCAAGAAAGCCTGCCTATTACATAATAATGTCACAGGTTGACTGCACAATCCCACAGGCCTGATCCTATTCTCACTGAAGTCAAGGGAAGTTTTGCCACTGACTTCAATGGGGGGAGCACAATACCCCTAAGAGTATATAAAATGAATGTCTGTAACTAGTGTTAGTACAATGACTTCCAAAATACTCAACTGATAGTCGGCACGTAATAATTTGCAACTAGTAGCATTACTTAAATGACATAGGAATGTAGATTACTGTACTTTTTATTTTCATAATATTGAACAAATGACATTCAGACAGTTGGAACTGAAAGTTATACTGTACTTCGATATCAAAGGAGTGAACAACAATAAGCATACAGGCTATATATAAAAATGGGATGGTAAAATTTATTGTGAAGGGCCCTTTTGCAAGGTGCTGGGAGCCTCCACATAGGTACCGAGGTACTCAACTTCCACTGTAGGCATTCAGCACTTCAGCCTTGGATTCTAAGTTTGCAAAGGAAAGCACAGATATACCTGCAAAAATTGAGAGTACTCCTTGCTCCCACAAACCACACCCTACATTTGCTCACATAGGTGCCCATTTTGTTCATGCAAATTCTTGTTTGCATGCACCAACATGGGCCTCTGCAGATAAAACAGGTGTGCTGTATATGTATTTTTGCAGATGCATCTGTGACACCTTTCAAGAAATGTGTTACAGTTTTTTGATCAACTTTATTCTTTATGTAGGCTCACATGGGTTTAGGTCTAAATTTGTTTGCTACGGACCTCAATGGGAGTACTCATACAAGTAAGTGTTACAGGATTGGGCCCATAATTTTCATCTGTCCTGAGAAACTACACGCCGAGTTTGAATGTAGTATAAACAGACTAGTTATAAACCTACATGCTACATGAGTTTAAAACTGCCTGACACATCTGAAAATGTAATTGTAAACAGGAAACAATCATTGAGGGAGTGTGTTTCTAGCGGGGTCTTTCCGGGATCCATTCTTGACCCTATGCTAGTTAAACATTTTTATCAGTGACCTGGAAGAAAACAAAATCATTACTGATCAAATTTGCAGACGACAAAAAGATTGGGAGCATGGTAAATAACGAAGAGGACAGGTCACGGATACAGAGTAATCTGAATCACTTGATAAACCAGTAAAAGCAAACAGGCATTTTAACACGGCAAAGTGTAAAGTCATACAGTACATCTCAGAACAAAGGCCATAGGGCATACTTACAGGATGGGGGACTATCTGGGGAAGCAGTGAATCGGAAAAGGACTGAGGGATCATAGCAGATAATCAGCTGAACACAAACTCCCAGGGCAACACTGTGGCCACAAGTGCTAATGAGATCCTCAAAAGTATAAGCAAAGGAACACCAAGTCCAGAGGTTATATTACCTCTGTATTTGGCACTGGTGCAACTGCTACTGGAATACTGTATCCAGTTTGGTGTACACATTTTAAGACCGCTGTTGAAATATTGGAGAGGGTTCAAAGAAAAGCCACAAGGATGATTAAAGGATTGGAAAACATGCCTTATAGTAAATGACTCAAGGAGAAGGGATGGGGTGACTTGATCACAGTCTATAAGTACCTACATGAGGAGCAAAAATTTGATACAGAGGGCTCTTCAATCTGTCAGACAAAAGTATAAGATCCAATGTCTGAAAGTTAAAACTAGAACAAATTTAGACTAGAAATTACATCTGAATGGTAATTAGCCATCAGAATAACTTACCAAGAGTTGCGGTGGATTCTCTATTACGGCACATTTTAAAAAAAAAATCCAATCTTGATTTAAAAAGATATGTTCTCGTTCAACCATAGCTATTGGATTTGAAGAAGAAATTAATTTAGAGGAGTCCTATGTTATGGACGAGGTCAGACGAGATGATCAAAGTTATCGCTTCTGACCTTAAAAAGCTATGAAGACACTTAACTACTGAGGTGCCACTATAACCCTAAAGATTACTTTCTCTATTACTAACCAACAAGTTCTTCCCTCCACTCTCTCCTCACGTGCTCCTTGAGCATAGTGCTCGTGACCATCTGTCCTCACAACACCCAGCTTAACAGTTTCTGCCATTGTGCTCTGTAGTCAGGGGATGATTGTGTTTTTGCTGCTGCAGGCACGGCGATGTGGAACTAACTCCGCTCTGAAATCTGTCTTGTCTGATTACACCCCATTTCTGAAAGACACTTTCACCCAAAAGTGTTTTTAGAGTGATCACAGTTACTCAAGTGCACATCTTGGAATAGCAATATCAAACTGGTAAACAATAAGACCAAACCACTCACAATCTGAAACAAGTACCAAACCACTTACCCTCATATTACAACAAAGACTAACAAATTTGAAGGTGTTCTCAGTGCGTGATCATTACACCCCCATTATTTCTTCATACCCCCGTGTTTGATTTTATTGCCCTGTTGAGCTGAGTGGCTGTTGATTTATTTGTTTGGAACTAACTGGTGACTCTGAAATTGCTGCAACCTTTAAAGAATTCTTGATGGAGCTGAGTTCCCACATATGCAAGTTCATGATGTGCATTCCACAGCATCTCCTAGCAATCTTGAAGAGGGTTTTCAGCACAGCTTTCCTTAGAAGAATGTATACCCAGGGATCTAATATTTGATTCCACGTTGCCATTCGGAGAACGACAAGTATTGTTTCACAGGTTTCCATTGAACGATCTTCATTTATTCCGATATTGGCCATTGTCACCTGGAAAATGGAATATTTTTAATTAAATATCAGAAAGCCATTTTAAGACAGCATGCAAATGACTGAAGTGATCATTTCAAATTACTCTCTCAAAGCATTTATCTGATAATCCTCCCACAGATTAATGCTCAATAACAAAATAATTCTTTGTATGAATAGCACATTTCAATTCTGAAAAATCCCAAAATGATTTTATAAACAATATATATGTTTAATGGAGGTAATCAGAAAATTTCCAGCAGAGCACTGTTTCAATAAAATTTGCTAATTCAGCAAAATCAGATTATTTTGCAAAAAGACAGCCCAATTTTGCTGAAGTTCCAATAGAACCCAAGCAGGGTTCAGTACCCTGGCTAGCTTTCTGCCAGCGCAACCACGTGGCTTCTTGGCAACCCCCACTCCCTCCCCCTCCCCACCACGAGAACTGCCCTGGAACTCCATTCCCTTTTGCAGAGAATTTCAGAATTTTTGGTTTCATTCCCAACTGGAATGGAACTAGATTTCAAACTTCCGAAATCCTCTATGAAACAGAATTACCTTTCTCTGCACAGTTCTAATGGTTAGCTACTAAAATACAACCACCCCTGCAATGGGGGCTGGCTGGCAGCCAGCTGCAAAATAGGGAGGAGTAGATACAGTGGCCAATCTTTGGTCTTACAAAATATGCCATGGATTCTCTAGATGTAGATTTCTATTTATACGGATATTGGCCATTTTCACTTGGGAAATTTTTTACATACAGACCTAGCCTCTCACATTTTGAAAATATAAATCCGTCTAGAGCACAGGACCTTTGTTTTCTAAGGTTTCAATGCAATGCAACTTAACTACCTCAAAGACAAAGGGTTGAGCTGTCTCTGGATCCGCTGGTTTGAATCTTGGCAAAGGGTCTATATATTGCAAACCTGATGCTTGGGCCAATAATCCATCCCCTCTTGCTAACGAACACCCAGAGGATTTCATTCATCCTCGGAAGCACTGGGAGTAAATTACACCTGTATTCCATTACTGCTACTCCCTGCCCTTGTAGTTCCCTCACAGGAAGGCAGCTTTCATTTCCAGATGCAATTCAACAGGACCATTTCTGACAGGGGAAGCCTGGGAGAGACACAGATTCAATGCATCTCAAAGGCACCGTGACCAGGCCCTCTTCATGGCTGATCTCACCCACTTTCTGGGCTGCTGTGGGTAGCTTTGACATGCCACTCAATAAGCAAAGACTGACAGACAGTGTCTTGTGCCACTGAGACACCTGCTTCTCCATGTAGGTTTTCTGCCACCAGGGACTTGCAACATGGGTTCCTCTGGCTGATTGAGTCTGCTGGGGAATGTTAAATTGTTTCTTTTTATTAACAACATTAAAAGCCTCAGACATTTTTAGTAGGAGTAAAAGGTCCAAATCAGTCTCAAAAAGGATGCAGCACTCTTGGGTACCAGTTCCAATGCCCATAAACTGAGCTAGACAAAGTAATTAGAAAACAAGATACTTTATAACTGACACTGTGACTACATTGATCTATTAGGTGTTGTAAGGATGGGTCAGTCTGTTCAAGTGCTAGTCTGGCATTTGCACAAACAGGGAATGTGAAAAAAGAAAAAAGAAAAAAAGAAGAGTGAGTAAGGAAAGAAAAACAAGTTGAATTCTTCAACAGTAGTTATTTGACATTTTTAAAATAATCTTTTGTATTCCTGGCTCCTGAACCTGGTTTGTTGCAAAGAGGTAGAGCACTGCATCTGATAATAAGTTGAAGGGTGCAACAGAGAAAGAACATGAACTGTGACTGAATCTATTTGTATGAATGTTTCTGTACGAGTATGTGAAAGAGAAAACTGGAGGACCCATAGAGACTGTCTGAAAAAAGCTGGTAAGCTTGGCAGAAAGATGGGTGGGAACTGGTGTAAAAAGTGAGGGATGTCTGAGTGCCATGCCAGTATAAATAACTTTAAGGCAGCTTCTCTGAACCTGTTTTTCACTCTACAATCATTGGGCGCATTCCTCTCAGACATCAACAGTCCAACGAAACTTGGAGGACTTTTATGGTTTCTGCATGGGATCTGTTCTCATGAAGGCTTTTCATTTTAGTTATTAGAAGCACAATTCTGCAAACCTCACACGCACACAGCACTTACTCATTCCATAAAACTAGTCTACAGCAAAAGAAAGCACAAGAAAAAGTAGCAAAATTAGACCTAAAACAAAAAGGTAGAAATTGAAAAAGCAGATATCATAAGTGTCTATTTTATTCACTATATGATTTTTAAATACAGATTTATAGTTTTCAAACATACCCCGAGGTCTCTAAAAATCCATCCATTATTGTTCAAATTTGGATTCTGCAACTTTAAGCAATACAAATTGGAATTCTGTACATTTTGGGGAAAGGGATTGCATAGCTTTCCAAGAAACAGAATTTCTCGGTTTTGATTTTTATTAAAGCTGTGTATTACTTTTTTCTTTCACACACACACAGTGAATTTTAGAATATAAATCTATAAAACTTCTATTATTCTTTTCCATTCCAGTGTGAATCACTTTTAAGAGGATCAGTTTTCCATTATTTATAGTGCTGAAATAGAGAAATTATATTTACTTTAACAGTGGATTTATTCCTTTGTATCATTTTAAGATCAGAAAATGATATCTGAATTGGATATATGATTTTTATGGTTTACATTATTTGGTAAGGTGTAACTGCTAGGACAGTTAATCTACATTTAGCAAGTTTGGTCTGTGCAAAAAATGGACATATGCAAACCCCCCAAATAAAAATTTTTATTTATATACTCCAGAAAGTGCTGAAATAACTCAGTTTTGGAATCCTAACATAGAACATGTCGAGATAAAGAGATGTTATCTAAAAACTTTCATAACTATAAAACTTTGCTTCACAACCATGTTATTTAAAATACTTTCTACGTAGAGTTCCAGCTTATGTTCAGTAGAATGAAAGATAAAATAACATTTTCCGATTATTAGTCATATGTTTGGACTCTGATCCCACTTAAAGGAGTATAAGAGAATAACAATGACAAAACCAGTGAGATCAGAATCTAACCATGCAAACACGCAACTTGCTTATGCCAAATGCAAGACTACCAAAGATTCTGGAAATCAGGTTCACAGAAACCAGCAATGGAAAACGCCTAGCAGGTAATTAAGTCTATTCCCTTGCCAATACCAGATTGTTCTGCAATCTGTTTGGGGAGGAAGAACTGGGTGCCTGGACGCTATTATGATAAGTGCATGATAAATTAGATAGGTTTTTGGTGCTTTGTCCAGTCTAGTTTTAAAATGTGCCCATTAAATAACAGAGCTCCCATTATTTTCCTTGGAAGATTTCAATTTCATAGATCTCACCAAAAGGAAATGTTTTTTTGATACTTAGCCAGAGTGTATGTCTACAGTATAAAATTTTGAAGTTATTCTATTTGAATTTTTGGAAGCGATTTTATACATTCGGTCTTGTGTGTTCCCACTAAAGCGCATGAATTCGGCGGAGTGCGTCCACAGTACCAAGGCTAGCATTGAATGTCGGAGCGGTGCACTGTGGGTAGCTATCCCACAGTTCCCGCAGTCCCCGCCACCCACTGGAATTCTGCGTTAAGCTCCCAATGCATGATGGGGCAAAAACATTCTTGCGGGTGTTTCTGGGTGTATGTCGTCAGTCGCTCCTCCCTCCGTGAAAGCTACTACAGGCAATCATTTCGTGCCTTTTTGTCATGCAGACGCCAAACTTCTTTCAGCAGATGGTGCACCGCTTCTCTCCAGGTACTATGAATCCACCTTGCATTTCCTTTCGTCTTTCTATGTAATCTCTATAAGTATCTACTCTCTCTCTTCCTCATCGGCTGCTTCCGCTGCCAACTCTGCTCGGCCATCGTGAACCAAGCAGCACAGCTTCTGCCGCCAACTCTGCTCTCCCGCTCTTTCCGCGCTACCAAGCTTCTCCATGTTGTCTGTCCTGTGAAAGCCTCTGTGAAAGCTACAGAAGACAGCTGTTTCCCGCCTTTTTTCAGCTATCGTGAACCGAACAGCACCTCTTCCGCTGCCACTCTGCTCTCGTACGTTTCGCGCCCTTTTTCCAGGATTACCCGTGCAGGCGCCACAGCGCAGCAAGCATGGAGCCGCTCAGATCTCCACTGCAGTTTTGACCATTGTAAGTACCTCGCGCATTATCCAGCAGTATGTGCAGTACCTGCAAAACCGGGCGAAGAAGCGATGACAGCACAATTACTATACTGATGAGGACATGGACACAGACGTTCCTAGAAGCACAGCATGTGGCGATCGGGAGATCATGGTGGCGTTGGGCCAGGTTCATGCCGTGGAATACCGATTCTGGGCCCGCAGCAGTGTTGCAGGTATGGGATGATTCCCAGTGGCTGCGAAACTTTTGTATGCGTAGGGCCACTTTCATGGAACTTTGTGACTTGCTATCCCCTACCCTGAAGCGCAAAGACACCAACATGAGAGCAGCCCTCACAGTTGAGAAGTGAGTGGCCATAGCCCTGTGGAAGCTTGCAACGCCTGACAGCTACCAGTCAGTCGGGAATCAGATTGGAGTGGGCTGCTGTGTTGCAAGTAGCCAATGCAACCATTGACCAGCTGCTATCAAGGGTAGGGACTTTAGAAAATGTGCAGACCATTGTGGATGGCTTTAATGCGCTGGGGTTCCCTAACGCATCCCCCTATCCTGGCCCCAGAACACCTGGACGGCCAGTACATAAACCACAAGGGGTACTCTTCCATGGTGCTGCAAACACTGGTGGATCATAAGGGATGTTTCACCGACATCAACGTAGGATGGCCAGGAAAGGTGCATGACGCTTGCATCTTCAGGAACTCTGGTCTGTTTGAACAGCTGCAGGAAGGGACTTCCTTCCCACACCAGAAAATTACTGTTGGGGATGTTGAAATGCCTATAGTTATCCTCGGGGACCGAACCTACCCCTTAATGCCATGGCTCACGAAGCCGTACACAGACACCCTGGACAGTAGT